GTATACCCGGTATGGAATTAGTATAACATGATCCATCATCGCTGGCCACGCCTATCATAGTACTTTCAGGGTTTGTGAAGTTTCGTTTGTCAAGCAAGGTATCTGGAGCCTCTGAAAAAATACAAAGAACTTTTAAACATGCCATCAATTGTGAATAAGACAACTGTCAACTGGTAAAACATAAGCAATTGAAGAACTCATCATATTTATTGAAGGACTTGATCATACTTGACCAATATAACGGTCTAATTAATTTACAAATTGTAGCTTTCCAATACCAACTTAAAGTGAAACTCTTTATCAAATATGTGCTGAGGCATCGATGATAAGAAATTTGAACTAAAACAACAAGGCAAGCAATACGGTATTGTTAACAAATCATAACAGTACCTGGGATGAAGTCTTCATATACAACAGGATACCACACAATTAACGGCCGTACACTGTACAAAACACTAGCTTTGACGGAATGTAGACAATCAATCAAAGTAACACTATCGTTACACTTAAAACTGGTGTTGTTGTGATATCCCCTGTATAATTAAGTACAGAATTCGAAATGAGAGTTAAATAATAAGTYATTTCATGGATGACTTACCCGCCATTCAAAATTGAAGAGTTTAGTGATCATTACGAAGCTCATCAAGAGAACAAATTAGTACATTTATAAAGTTTGAGATTAATCAGTTAAAAATTCGAGGACATAGAGATTCTCAGATTAACAAGTTTAAAGAAATGCAGGTGAGGTTGAGTTTCTTTGCAAATTTTTAGGGCGTAAAGTGATTATTCAGAAACTTTGTAGATTTATTAATTTCGAGAAAAGCACATAACCAAATTTTTGGAAAAGTACATCCATGTTGAACGCGGTGAATGTGATAAAGCAAGTTAACAGTCTGGTTCATAGATAGCCAGAAAAGAGACGATAGTGATGATGATCAGCCAACTTTCAGCTTACTTGAACGTTTTTGTATCGTCATCATAGAATTCATAGATCGATGGCATATTTGCTACCCCGGACTGTATGATCGCGTATTTAAAAAGGTTACGAGCCAATGGTGACAAACAGAGAAAAGACACACTAACACCCCCAGCAGAGTTACCAAATATGGTCACCCGATTTGGATCACCTCCGAATCTGAAACAAAAAAAAAGAGATAGAAATTAGATCACTACAGTCTGCGTTTTCCATATTTATTCTTAAGACCTTTAAAAACTGGAACAAGAATATCACGTTTATTTGGTGCGTAGGAGAATACACGCAGCTACTCGTGCAGCTCGAGCCAATAATTGTGCAAACTTTGTCAAAAGGGAATTATAAGAAGTAAAACTCTAGAAGTCAAATTGTCCTATCGCATAACAACAGTTTATTTATTAATATCACACTAGGATTATGGTCGCCAGAAGCGATCAGAGTGACTGCATATCGAATAAAATGTACATGAGTAATCACTAAAATGATATACATCAAAACTCGATACACTAAAGTTCTACTTTTGGAAAGAATGTTAATAGGTCCAAATTTTGAGTCTTTCTGAGCATCTATCCTCAATATAAACATACGTCATACTGCCATAGGGCACTTGACCAATAATACCAAACAACTTACGCTGCAATGTTTCGATTCACCCACTTTAAGGCTTCCAGCTGGTCAAAAAGGCCATAGTTGCCTGTTAAATTAWATGGTCTGTGATGAAGAAAGCCCAATAAACCTAGGCGGTAATTGATTGCAACAACAATAACATCTCCTAATGTTGCCAAATAACTGCCATCAGCTATTCTGTTTGAGCCAGTTGTAAATGTACCCCCATGAATCCAAACCATCACAGCTCTTTTGCTGTCACATGGGGCGGCAGGAACATACACGTTGAGGTTTAAACAATCTTCATCCATATCTTTRATTGATGGATTGAAAGGATTAAGCGGTGTATAACTGATATCCTGCCAACAAACTTTCCCAAACGTTTTCATCTCCTTAACACCTTTCCATGATTCTCTTACAGGGCGAGGTCTCTCAAAACGTTCTGCACGAGCGTAACGAATGCCAAGGTACTTGTGAACAACATGGTTGTTTTTTAAAGTTTCTGCAAACCCTTGGATTTTACCCCCTTCAATTGTAATAGGATCTGGCTTGGTCGC